TTATTTGCTTTGCACTAATTACCTACCTTTGCATGCAGGACGTGGCAGTGGTGTTCATGGTTCCATTAAATCCTCCGATCTTGCAGGCATGTCCGCAGCTGCACCAGCCGCCGCTGCAACAGTTACCGCACCCCAAGGCGGCTACATTGACATCCCTGTCAGCAATGTTAGAGGTGTTATTGCCAAGCGTTTATTGGAATCGAAACAACAAATACCTCATTACTATGTAACCGTAGAGTGCCAAGTGGATAATGTAAGTGTTATACTAAAGTAATTTATTAATTTTTAAATTGTTATTAATTTCGAAAACATTAAAATTATTCACAGCTCATGAAACTGCGTGCTAAAGTTAATAAGAAATACGAAAAACAAGGAGTTAAAGTATCTGTTAATGATTTCATTATCAAAGCTACTGCCATCGCCTGTCGTAAAGTACCCGAATCAAACTCCTATTGGATGGGCAATGTTATCAGACAGTAAGTGGTTGATTATAAGTAGATTTCATTATGAAATTTTATTTATATTTTTTTAATTATTTCTTCTTTCAGATTCGACAACGTTGATGTCTCTGTTGCTGTTTCAACCGATAAAGGTTTAATCACCCCCATCGTTTTCAGCGCTGATCGCAAAGGAGTTGTTGAAATTTCCAAAAATGTTAAGGAATTAGCTGGTAAAGCCCGTGACAATAAACTTCAACCTCATGAATTCCAAGGAGGCACTGTCAGCGTTTCCAATTTGGGAATGTTTGGTAAGTAACTAATTGAAATAAAATTTGTGTTAAATATTCGACTTTTAAGTAAATATTAGAAATTTCGTTGATTTTTAATGAAAACAAGAATATTCGAATTTTTCATAAAAAATTCAAATTTTTGATAAATATTAAAATTTTGTTTGATGAAAAATCGAGTTTTTGTTGAAAATTACATTTTTTATAAAAACAGCATTTTCGAAAAAAGTCGAATTTTCGACAAATATTCGAATTTGTGTGATAACTCGAATTTTCTGAAAAAATTCCATAAATATTCGAATGTTTTATAAAAACTCGAATTTTTTATAAATATTAAATTTTTTATAAAAACTCGAATTTTTTATAAACAGTCAAGTTTTTCATAAATATTGAATTTTTTTTTTTGAACATTTAAGTTTTCGAATTTTCGGTTAATATTCTGGTTTTTAATGAATATTCGAGTTCTTGGTGAAAATTCAAATTTTTATAAAAACAGAATTTTCGATGAATTCTCTGAGTGTTCGAATTTTATTTTTAATTATCGATGAATATTCGAATATTTCAAAATTTAATGAATATTCGAATTTTTTACTAGAACTGAACTAGAACTGAACTAGAACTGAACTAGAACTGAACTAGAACTGAACTAGAACTGAACTAGAACTGAACTAGAACTGAACTAGAACTGAACTAGAACAGAACTAGAACTGAACTAGAACTGAACTAGAACTGAACTAGAACTGAACTCGAACTGAACTAAACTAGAACTGAACTAGAACTGAACTAAACTAGAACTGAACTAGAACTGAACTAGAGCTGAACTAGAACTGATCTAGAACTGAACTAGAACTGAACTAGAACTAAACTAGAACTGAACTAGAACTGAACTAGAACTGAACTAGAACTGAACTAGAACTGAACTAGAACTGAACTAGAACTGAACTAGAACTGAACTAGAACTGAACTAGAACTGAACTAGAACTGAACTAGAACTGAACTAGAACTGAACTAGAACTGAACTAGAACTGAACTAGAACTGAACTAGAACTGAACTAGAACTGAACTAGAACTGAACTAGAACTGAACTAGAACTGAACTAGAACTGAACTAGAAACTGAACTAGAACTGAACTAGAACTGAACTAGAACTGAACTAGAACTGAACTAGAACTGAACTAGAACTGAACTAGAACTGAACTAGAACTGAACTAGAACTGAACTAGAACTGAACTAGAACTGAACTATAACTGAACTAGAACTGAACTAGAACTGAACTAGAACTGAACTAGACTGAACTAGAACTGAACTAGAACTGAACTAGAACTGAACTAGAACTGAACTAGAACTGAACTAGAACTGAACTAGAACTGAACTAGAACTGAACTAGAACTGAACTAGAACTGAACTAGAACTGAACTAGAACTGAACTAGAACTGAACTAGAACTGAACTAGAACTGAACTAGAACTGAACTAGAACTGAACTAGAACTGAACTAGAACTGAACTAGAACTGAACTAGAACTGAACTAGAACTGAACTAGAACTGAACTAGAACTGAACTAGAACTGAACTAGAACTGAACTAGAACTGAACTAGAACTGAACTAGAACTGAACTAGAACTGAACTAGAACTGAACTAGAACTGAACTAGAACTGAACTAGAAACTGAACTAGAACTGAACTAGAACTGAACTAGAACTGAACTAGAACTGAACTAGAACTGAACTAGAACTGAACTAGAAAGAACTGAACTAGAACTGAACTAGAACTGAACTAGAACTGAACTAGAACTGAACTAGAACTAGAACTGAACTAGAACTGAACTAGAACTGAACTAGAACTGAACTAGAACTGAACTAGAACTGAACTAGAACTGAACTAGAACTGAACTAGAACTGAACTAGAACTGAACTAGAACTGAACTAGAACTGAACTAGAACTGAACTAGAACTGAACTAGAACTGAACTAGAACTGAACTAGAACTGAACTAGAACTGAACTAGAACTGAACTAGAACTGAACTAGAACTGAACTAGAACTGAACTAGAACTGAACTAGAACTGAACTAGAACTGAACTAGAACTGAACTAGAACTGAACTAGAACTGAACTAGAACTGAACTAGAACTGAACTAGAACTGAACTAGAACTGAACTAGAACTGAACTAGAACTGAACTAGAACTGAACTAGAACTGAACTAGAACTGAACTAGAACTGAACTAGAACTGAACTAGAACTGAACTAGAACTGAACTAGAACTGAACTAGAACTGAACTAGAACTGAACTAACTGAACTAGAACTGAACTAGAACTGAACTAGAACTGAACTAGAACTGAACTAGAACTGAACTAGAACTGAACTAGAACTGAACTAGAACTGAACTAGAACTGAACTAGAACTGAACTAGAACTGAACTAGAACTGAACTAGAACTGAACTAGAACTGAACTAGAACTGAACTAGAACTGAACTAGAACTGAACTAGAACTGAACTAGAACTGAACTAGAACTGAACTAGAACTGAACTAGAACTGAACTAGAACTGAACTAGAACTGAACTAGAACTGAACTAGAACTGAACTAGAACTGAACTAGAACTGAACTAGAACTGAACTAGAAACTGAACTAGAACTGAACTAGAACTGAACTAGAACTGAACTAGAACTGAACTAGAACTGAACTAGAACTGAACTAGAACTGAACTAGAACTGAACTAGAACTGAACTAGAACTGAACTAGAACTGACTAGAACTGAACTAGAACTGAACTAGAACTGAACTAGAACTGAACTAGAACTGAACTAGAACTGAACTAGAACTGAACTAGAACTGAACTAGAACTGAACTAGAACTGAACTAGAACTGAACTAGAACTGAACTAGAACTGAACTAGAACTGAACTAGAACTGAACTAGAACTGAACTAGAACTGAACTAGAACTGAACTAGAACTGAACTAGAACTGAACTAGAACTGAACTAGAACTGAACTAGAACTGAACTAGAACTGAACTAGAACTGAACTAGAACTGAACTAGAACTGAACTAGAACTGAACTAGAACTGAACTAGAACTGAACTAGAACTGAACTAGAACTGAACTAGAACTGAACTAGAACTGAACTAGAACTGAACTAGAACTGAACTAGAACTGAACTAGAACTGAACTAGAACTGAACTAGAACTGAACTAGAACTGAACTAGAACTGAACTAGAACTGAACTAGAACTGAACTAGAACTGAATTAGAACTGAACTAGAACTAGACTAGAACTAAAATAGAAGTAAACTAGAACTACACATTTTTTCTGTGCAAAATTTCGATATGAAATTTTAACATTAATCATTTGTTATTTTTATATGCATAATTTTAATTTTCATAAACTCTAATGTATACTTTCAGGAGTTACACAATTTTGTGCTGTCATCAATCCACCACAGTCTTGCATTTTAGCTGTAGGCACAACTGAAAAGAAACTCATTGCCGATCCCGATAGCCTTAAAGGGTAACTAACTGAAGATCAGACAAAAACAAAACAGTTTATAAAACTTTTCTTTTCATTACAGTTTCAAGGAAGTCAATGTAATGAAGGTAACCCTATCTGCCGATCATAGAACTGTCGATGGTGCCGTAGCTGCCAAATGGTTGCAACACTTCCAAGAATTTATTGAAGATCCTGCTTCTATGATTCTCTAAGAATCTACTTTCTCTACATTACATTTGAAATTTTCATGTCACCTTAATATCCTGCCATAAGTTTACAACTATATATGGTTGGCATTCAACGAAGGAGTGGAATATTATAAAATCATACCTACTTACATATATATATATATATATATACAACACATTTCTAGTAAATTGTGCGTTATTTTTAAAAAAACATTAGAAAATTTAATTGGATTTATTTAATATGGATGGATTTTTGTTTATGTTGAAGAAAAAATTGTATTTATTAAACTTTTTGTTGTAAAAAAACAAATGCCTCAAAGGAAAAAAGAAACACAAAATGATCATTACTATTGGAAAGATATTAATAATAAAAGAGAAGATGCTTCAACGATATTTCAATTAAAAATTAAATATTATTTTAAGCTTTAGTCCCAAATAGAAAAGAACAACACTAACACATTTTATTTCTTGAAATATACGTGCATCACATCAAATTTTGTAAAAAATAAAACAAAAATCATTTATAAATTGTTGTTGCTAATCGTATTGCATTCAATTATGAAATATGTACGAATAAACATAGAAAAATCACTCTGTAATATAAAATATTTATAAACACTTTGTATTTATTTACTTTTTTAAATTTGTTTTAACTTTATTCTACAATTTGTTTATACATGTCTAAGGAATGTTCTTACATTTACACTAAGAAATTTACTTTAAGGAATTTACCACTTGGCGGGACCAAATTCAGACCATTCTTTAACAAAGTCTGTATGTTTTTCAACAGCTGGTAACCAGTCCTTGCCGCCATAATCAATTTTGGGCAAATTACCCTTGTAATTTTCAGGCAAAACTTCGGGCGACAAAAATTTGTGCAAAGATTTCATATCACTGCCATGGAAGTGCATCTGTAAAGGGAAATAAAAAAGGTATATTAAACATACTTTCATTTAGTACACTTTACAACAGCAACAAACTTACTCTCTTGTTCAATTTCTCACGAACGAATGGTTTGAAGAGAGACCAAACCATTTTGAAGATAAAAGGTTGCTTAACAAAATGAACTTCCTTCATACGCAGGGGCATGGCATCTTGGATGAAAGTCAATAAACGTTTCGAGAAGCTGGGTGACAAGGCTTTAACTTGTTTCATCGCAAGACCATCAAAGTCCATAATACAAACAACACCACGGATCTGAGTTTCCTCCTCCAATTGAGCAGCAATATGTACCATATACAACATACGGAAAACATCATCGGAGGGCACATCATTGGGATCCCACAATTGGCCACAGTTAACAATTAAGACACGACGTCCCAATTGATCACAATTTTTCAAAACGTTTATAACACCAAAATTAACGAATTTGTCTTTAACTTGTTCGATTACTAAACCATGCAAAAGAGCGGCATTCTCTTTACGGAAAGCAGCGGTGGTTTTCATCTAAAATTGTGGAAAAACATACAAATAAAAATTACATTTTTGTTGAAGTCAAAAACATAAAAGCTAGCCGGTAGGTGTTATTCTTTATTTGGCCTAATGAGGATTGTAAAACTTTATCAACATTTTAACTGACCCTATGCTAAACGATAAGGTAAGTAGTGTTTGTTATAGTTTTTGCTCATTATCTTAATATTTTTATGTTTTATAAAAATTTGGTAATTTAATTTTATTGTTGTAAATGTGTTCCATTTAATGTTTGCTTCCATAATTTAATTGAAGTGCGAATTATCAGTAATTGTTTTTATGGTTTTTCTATCGAACTACAATTGCTTTTTTTGGACAATTAAGGAAAATATGCCATTTAGTTTTTATAATGCTTTTTAGAAGAATTTTGTCTAGATAACAACATGATTTAATTGTTAGAATCAAACTTGAATTCATGCTACCAAATTTTATGAAAATTATCATTGCTGCTGGATAAGGTTTTGCACTGATTTAAAACTGTACTGAAACTGAACTACAACTTAACTAGAACTGAACTAAAATTGAACTAGAATTGATCTAGAACTGAACTAGAACTGAACTAGAACTGAACTAGAACTGAACTAGAACTGAACTAGAACTGAACTAGAACTGAACTAGAACTGAACTAGAACTGAACTAGAACTGAACTAGAACTGAACTAGAACTGAACTAGAACTGAACTAGAACTGAACTAGAACTGAACTAGAACTGAAATAGAACTGAACTAGAACTGAACTAGAACTGAACTAGAACTGAACTAGAACTGAACTAGAACTGAACTAGAACTGAACTAGAACAGAACTAGAACTGAACTAGAACTGAACTAGAACTGAACTAGAACTGAACTAGAACTGAACTTGAACTAGAACTGAACTAGAACTGAACTAGAACTGAACTAGAACTGAACTAGAACTGAACTAGAACTGAACTAGAACTGAACTAGAACTGAACTAGAACTGAACTAGAACTGAACTAGAACTGAACTAGAACTGAACTAGAACTGAACTAGAACTGAACTAGAACTGAACTAGAACTGAACTAGAACTAGAACTGAACTAGAACTGAACTAGAACTAGAACTGAACTAGAACAGAACTAGAACTAGAACTGAACTAGAACTGAACTAGAACTGAACTAGAACTAAACTAGAACTGAACTAGAACTGAACTAGAACTGAACTAGAACTGAACTAGAACTGAACTAGAACTGAACTAGAACTGAAATAGAACTGAAATAGAACTGAACTAGAACTGAACCAGAACTGAACTAGAACTGAACTGGAACTAGAACTGAACAAGATTTATACAATAAACACTCATCTTTTCCATTGAGATTCTTAACACTAAAACGGTTAAAAACTTTATTGAAATAAGATAAATTCAAAAATGGTTATATTATACATTCACATAAATCAAAATTTCTTATTAAAATTAAAAAGTCAAACATTTTAACACCGGCTTTCGAGTGGGTCTTCCTTAAAGTCGTTCTTTCCATTCTTATATTATTTTATAGGATTGCATAACAATTTCTTATAAGGTTTTTGACTTGTTGCAATTCGATTAAATAAGTCTTTAAATTCATATTTAAAATTGAATTCCATTGATATGAATATACTCTGTCTGTATTTAATACGTGTATCAGCAGTTGGTTGGTAACCCAATTTAAAGCTTATCACATTTTTACTTTGTTTTTTGAGACAAAAGTTCAAAAGCGCAGCTATAATTTATTTGTATTTTTAAAATAGTACGAAATTCTATATAAACATTAAGGTGCCACTACTTTTTAATTAAATAAGTTGAATTATTAAATAATAAAAAGATTTTTGTAGACATTAAAGTTATATTTATGCATATAATAATTAAAACAAATATAAATAATGATGTCACAAAAACATTTTTGGATTTACAGGGGAAAATCAAAAAATTAAACATTAATGATAGAGTTTTTTTTAAAAGTGATTAAGTGATTCTAGGGGTTAGTCGGTAAGAATAGGAGGATTTAAGACTGAAAGCCAATTTGTTGCTATAGGGGACTGTAATAGAACGAACTAAACTAGAACTAGAACTGAACTAGAACTGAACTAGAACTGAACTAGAACTACTAGAAACTGAACTAGACTGAACTAGAACTAGAACTGAACTAGAACTGAACTAGAACTGAACTAGAACTGAACTAGAACTGAACTAGAACTGAACTAGAACTGAACTAGAACTGAACTAGAACTGAACTAGAACTAGAACTGAACTAGAACTGAACTAGAACTGAACTAGAACTGAACTAGAACTGAACTAGAACTGAACTAGAACTGAACTAGAACTGAACTAGAACTGAACTAGAACTGAACTAGAACTGAACTAGAACTGAACTAGAACTGAACTAGAACTGAACTAGAAACTGAACTAGAACTGAACTAGAACTGAACTAGAACTGAACTAGAACTGAACTAGAACTGAACTAGAACTGAACTAGAACTGAACTAGAACTGAACTAAACTGAACTAGAACTGAACTAGAACTGAACTAGAACTGAACTAGAACTGAACTAGAACTGAACTAGAACTGAACTAGAACTGAACTAGAACTGAACTAGAACTGAACTAGAACTGAACTAGAACTGAACTAGAACTGAACTACTGAACTAGAACTGAACTAGAACTGAACTAGAACTGAACTAGAACTGAACTAGAACTGAACTAGAACTGAACTAGAACTGAACTAGAACTGACTAGAACTGAACTAGAACTGAACTAGAACTGAACTAGAACTGAACTAGAACTGAACTAGAACTGAACTAGAACTAGAACTGACTAGAACTGACTAACTGAACTAGAACTGAACTAGAACTGAACTAGAACTGAACTAGAACTGAACTAGAACTGAACTAGAACTGAACTAGAACTGAACTAGAACTGAACTAGAACTGAACTAGAACTGAACTAGAACTGAACTAGAACTGAACTAGAACTGAACTAGAACTGAACTAGAACTGAACTAGAACTGAACTAGAACTGAACTAGAACTGAACTAGAACTGAACTAGAACTGAACTAGAACTGAACTAGAACTGACTAGAACTGAACTAGAACTGAACTAGAACTGAACTAGAACTGAACTAGAACTGAACTAGAACTAGAACTGAACTAGAACTAGAACTGAACTAGAACTGAACTAGAACTAGAACTGAACTAGAACTGAACTAGAACTGAAGTAGAACTGAAGTAGAACTGAAAGTAGAACTGAACTAGAACTGAAACTAGAACTGAAACTAGAACTGAACTAGAACTGAACTAGAACTGAACTAGAACTGAACTAGAACTGACTAGAACTGAACTAGAACTGAACTAGAACTGAACTAGAACTGAACTAGAACTAGAACTAGAACTAGAACTAGAACTGAACTAGAACTGAACTAGAACTGAACTAGAACTAGAACTGAACTAGAACTGAACGTAGAAAAACTGAAGTAGAACTGAAGTAGAACTGAACTAGAACTGAACTAGAACTGAACTAGAACTGAACTAGAACTGAACTAGAACTGAACTAGAACTGAACTAGAACTGAACTAGAACTGAACTAGAACTGAACTAGAACTGAACTAGAACTGAACTGAACTAGAACTGAACTAGAACTGAGCTAGAACTGACCTAGAACTGAACTAGAACTGAACTAGAACTGAACTAGAACTGAACTAGAACTGAACTAGAACTGAACTAGAACTGAACTAGAACTGAACTAGAACTGAACTGAACTAGAACTGAACTAGTTCAGTTCTAGAATAAAAGCCTCTCCTTTCCCAATTCTTATCACAATGCTTTCAATTTCACAGTTACTATTCCTATCGATTTCCTTTTAAATTCTTTGTCTTAATTCCCAATAAGTTAATAATTCTAACTTGACAATGATTTACATATTTAAATAAATTTTAAGCTTTTGTAAAGCAATAAAAACAATATTTACCTTTTCAAATGCACTTTGGGGATAGAAGTGACAGGCTCTCAGGAAAATAACCAAGAAATCATCATCGTCTCTGTAGTGAATATCGGGACAGGAATGTAATAATTCACGCAATTCTTTAATGGCTGCCTCTTTAACTTCGGGAGTTTCACGCAATTCATTTTTGGCAATTTCCATAGTTTCAGGGCGATAATAACCAATGCGTATATTAAACGCTTCTACGCTGTTATCGTTCGACATGTTGTCTAGATGGATTTAAAAAAATAACAATAATAAAAAACTATTAACAGTTACAAATGAAAGTAGAATTTCATAAACATTTACTAAACTTTTACTAATAACGAAATTACTCTATTATTGTTGCGTTATTATTGTTGATTAAATACAAAAATTAAATTTTTATTTGTTTAACATTATAAACGTTCTTAATGTGATTGTTTTCATTTAAGTAATTTGCGTTTTTTATTTATTTCTTTTTTGAAAACACTTACAAAATTTGTTTGCTTTGTTTGTTTTTTAATAAAGTATTTATCACAGGATTTAAATAATTTCAAATAATTATAACGGACGGATTTTTTTTAGCACGATTAACTTGTTCACCATTCACGGTATTCCATACAACTGATATTCCTCTATAACAACTGGTCCCTTGTAAACCCCGAAAAAAAGAACAAAAAGCGAAACTAAACCAAAACCTTCGATATTGTGATTGATATGGTTTAGTTGTTGTGTTGTCCAGTAGCTGTTGACGTTGTCGTCGTCAGTCTTAAAGATTGGACGAAGTCGACTTGTATATTTCACGGATTCTTATCGTTGCATTCGGAAATAAATACAATTATCAACACACATTCGTATATGTACAGAGGTTTTGTATATAGAACACAATCTTAGTTTTCTCCGTAGGCGAATGTTAACCGAAAACTGAATTGGAAAAAAGCTTCCGTTCGTTCTATCATTAAGAATGATGTCAAAGTTTTCGCTTTCATAAGTATTTCTTGTTTTACTTGCAGGGCACGTTTAATATCATTAATACTTATTAAATAATTTTTAGCTAAAAAGAGCCGTTAAAAGTAATAAAAACTAATTTTATAATAACCATAATAATAAATGGAATACTATCGCAATGTACACTATATGCGATATATGTATATGAAGATACCGAAAAGTCCAAAGGCTAAACGTAGCAAGGGTCACCTAAAACTTGGAAGGTGATAAAAATAAAAGATTTCATAATATGTACTAATTTATGTGAAAATAATCACGAATAATTTCGATTTTAGTCGTATGCATTTAGGTTGCATTATCAGTAGAACTGAATTAGAACGGATCTAGTGAAGTAGAACTGAACTAAAACTGAACTGGAACTAGAACTGAACTAGAACTGAAGTAGAACTGAACTAGAACTAGAACTGAACTAGAACTGAACTAGAACTGAACTAGAACTGAACTAGAACTGAAATAGAACTGAACTAGAACTGAACTAGAACTGAACTAGAACTTGAACTAGAACTGAACTAAAACTGAACTAGAACTGAACTAGAACTGAACTAGAACTGAACTAGAACTGAACTAGAACTGAACTAGAACTGAACTAGAACTGAACTAGACCTGAACTAGAACTGAACTAGAACTGAACTAGAACTGAACTAGAACTGAACTAGAACTGAACTAGAACTGAACTAGAACTGAACTAGAACTGAACTAGAACTGAATTAGAACTGAACTAGAACTGAACTAGAACAGAACTAGAACTGAACTAGAACTGAACTAGAACTGAACTAGAACTGAACTAGAACTGAACTAGAACTGAACTAGAACTGAACTAGAACTGAACTAGAACTGAACTAGAACTGAACTAGAACTGAACTAGAACTAGAACTGAACTAGAAGTGAACTAGAACTGAAATAGAACTGAAATAGAACTGAACTAGAACTGAATTAGAACTGAACTAGAACTGAACTAGAACTGAACTAGAACTGAACTAGAACTGAACTAGAACTGAACTAGAACTGAACTAGAACTGAATTAGAACTAGAACTGAACTAGAACTGAACTAGAACTGAACTGAACGAACTAGAACTGAACTAGAACTGAACTAGAACTAGAACTGAACTAGAACTGAACTAGAACTGAACTAGAACTGAACTAGAACTGAACTAGAACTGAACTAGAACTGAACTAGAACTGAACTAGAACTGAACTAGAACTGAACTAGAACTGAACTAGAACTGAACTAGAACTGAACTAGAACTGAACTAGAACTGAAATAGAACTGAACTAGAACTGAACTAGAACTGAACTAGAACTGAACTAGAACTGAACTAGAACTAAACTAGAACTGAACTAGAACTGAACTAGAACTGAACTAGAACTGAACTAGAACTGAACTAGAACTGAACTAGAACTGAACTAGAACTGAACTAGAACTGAACTAGAACTGAACTAGAACTGAACTAGAACTGAACTAGAACTGAACTAGAACTGAACTAGAACTGAACTAGAACTGAACTAGAACTGAACTAGAACTGAACTAGAACTGAACTAGAACTGAACTGAACTAGAACTGAACTAGAACTGAACTAGAACTGAACTGAACTAGAACTGAACTAGAACTGAACTAGAGAACTAGAACTGAACTGAACTGAACTAGAACTGAACTAGAACTGAACTAGAACTGAACTAGAACTGAACTAGACTGAACTAGAACTGAACTAGAACTGAACTGAACTAGAACTGAACTAGAACTGAACTAGAACTGAACTAGAACTGAACTAGAACTGAACTAGAACTGAACTAGAACTGAACTAGAACTGAACTAGAACTGAACTAGAACTGAACTAGAACTGAAGTAGAACTGAACTAGAACTGAACTAGAACTGAACTAGAACTGAACTAGAACTTAACTAGAACTGAACTAGAACTGAACTAGAACTGAACTAGAACTGAACTAGAACTGAACTAGAACTAAACTAGAACTGAACTAGAACTCAACTAGAACTTAACTAGAACTGAAATAGAACTTAACTAGAACTCAACTTGTATGAAAAATTTTCGAACCATCGATTTCTGAAAACTTAAAAAGGTACCCAAGTTTCGCTGCTACTCTCCATTTTCCAACTACTTTTAAATTTTAAAAATTTTATTCCCATTTTACGTTGTGTTCGAGTAATTAAGAGTTCAACATTTTTTGACAGTCCTTATCAGTTTTGTAATTAATTTTTTTTTTTTTTTTTAAATTTGACAACAACAACATATTCAGGAACATTTTTAATACAAATTCGTTTATTATTTTTGTTTGTTCGCGCTATCGGAGTATAAATAAATAATATATCATTAAATTGATTACCTACCTCTGCCAACTTCGATCAATTTTCTTTGAAAATGTTTTTAATAGGTTTTTTTTTAAGTAATTTTATGAAATTTAAAACACCTATCGATGGGTAAGAGGTATACATAATTTGTAAATAATTTTTCTAAAATGTATGTATGTATTTTGCAATAACTAATAGAAAATCTAAAACTATTTTGCTATTGTCTAAGTGAAAGTCTTTAATTGTTTAGTTATCGATAAGTAGTCATGGTACTTCATTTCAAATCTAAACATCTGTTTAAAAATCTAGCAGTCGTATTCGCGAATTATTAAAAGTAGATAACGATTTAGTTAAATTTACTATATACCAGTCTCTCTCTCTAATTGAATTCCATTATTAATAAAGGGAAATTATTTTCATATTTTTGTAGAATGAAATTAGTTTTAGTTTTTAAATTGTTTTCATTAAAGCTTTAATTTCTGAAAAATGTGAATTATAACGAGAACTAGAACTGAACTAGAACTGAACTAGAACTGAACTAGAACTGAACTAGAACTGAACTAGAACTGAACTAGAACAGAACTAGAACAGAACTAGAACTGAACTAGATCTGAACTAGATCTGAACTAGAACTGAACTAGAACTGAACTAGAACAGAACTAGAACAGAACTAGAACTGAACTAGAACTGAACTAGAACTGAACTAGAACTGAACTAGAACTGAACTAGAACTGAACTAGAACTGAACTAGAACTGAACTAGAACTGAACTAGAACTGAACTAGAACTGAACTAGAACTGAACTAGAACTGAACTAGAACTGAACTAGAACTGAACTAGAACTGAACTAGAACTGAACTAGAACTGAACTAGAACTGAACTAGAACTGAACTAGAACTGAACTAGAAACTGAACTAGAACTGAACTAGAACTGAACTAGAACTGAACTAGAACTGAACTAGAACTGAACTAGAACTGAACTAGAACTGAACTAGAACTGAACTAGAACTGAACTAGAACTGAACTAGAACTGAACTAGAACTGAACTAGAACTGAACTAGAACTGAACTAGAACTGAACTAGAACTAGAACTGAACTAGAACTGAACTAGAACTGAACTAGAACTGAACTAGAACTGAACTAGAACTGAACTAGAACTAGAACTGAACTAGAACTAGAACTGAACTAGAAGTAGAACTGAACTAGAAGTAGAACTGAACTAGAAGTAGAACTGAACTAGAAGTAGAACTGAACTAGAACTGAACTAGAACTGAACTAGAACTGAACTAGAACTGAACTAGAACTGAACTAGAACTGAACTAGAACTGAACTAGAACTGAACTAGAACTGAACTAGAACTGAACTGAACTGAACTAGAACTGAACTAGAATGAACTAGAACTGAACTAGAACTACGGAACTATAACTGACTAGAACTTGAACTAGACTTGAAACTAGAACTGACTAGAACTAGAACTGAACTAGAACGAACTAGAACTGAACTAGAAACTGAACTAGACCTGAACTAGAACTGAACTAGAACTGAACTAGAACTGAACTAGAAACTGAACTAGAACTGAACAGAACTGACTAGAACTGAACTAGAACTGAACTAGAACTGACTAGAACTGACTAGAACTGAACTAGAACTGAACTAGAACTGAACTAGAACTGAACTAGAACTGAACTAGAACTGAACTAGAACTGAACTAGAACTGAACTAGAACTGAACTAGAACAGAACTAGAACTGAACTAGAACTGAACTAGAACTGAACTAGAACTGAAGTAGAACTGAACTAGAACTGAACTAGAACTGACTAGAACTGAACTAGACACTGAACTAGAACTGAACTAGAACTGACACAGAACTGTCAAGAACTAGAATAAAACAGAACTGAACGCTACGGTAGACGTTCGATTCATTTCAAATAATTTTTGAAAATATTAGCGACTGTTTTGACATCTTTCGAAATTTGATCGTTCATTTTTTTTACCCTGTAGGGTACTTTCAAAATCCACAAAAACCAACTATTTTACCAAATACTTACTACTGTAGAATTTATACAATTCATATCGTATTTTGTACTCAAATTTCCATTCAATTATAACCGATGATCGTATTTAAGTGTTTGTTATTGTTTTTAAGTTTTTTTTTTTTTCAAAAACGTTTCTCTCTGAAATGTCTTTGTTTCAATAAATATTGATTGCTTCGTAACAAAATACGAATGAAATTAATGCACACTTGATCGAGGCGCTATTACTAAACCTTTAAAATTTTCAACGAAAGGGGGTGGTGTACATTTACGAGTTGATTGCTCCCCGCCTAGGCATTTAAACTAGAAGAGGGTTTTTAAAGACTCATAGGGCAAAGTCCTACTGAATGAAAACTTGTTAACATTTGTCAACAGCACACAACTAAGTTATCAAGAAATTGAAATGAAAACAATAAATAATAACAACAAAGCAAAGTTCCTCTTTG